ACCCAATTTACCTTGAACTTCAACTATCTTAGACTCATAATATTCATAGTCGTCTGCTTTCTTTGGTTCATAAGGTATAACAAGTTTGTATGCTTTACCTTCTTTAAGGTTTGAGAACTTTCTGTCAAAATTTTTCTTTGACTGCTAACAAACCTTCTATGTCTAAGTCTTCAAATTTCGCACCATTTTTAGTCACAATAGCAAACTTAACTGGTTCGATGTTCCAAACTTTGTCAAATGTAGACTTTTCAAAATTGTAGAAGTAAACATTCAATATATGAATGTGGTCTAGTTCTTCTTTGACTTCTGTCATGTACTTGTTGACTGAAATATATTTCGTCATTTCTATCGGATAAAAAAATATTTTTTTTAAATTTACTCATAAAAATTTTCTTTGTATATACGCCGTTCTGAACATCTAAAAGACTTTTGACATTTTGCCAAGAATGTACGTTTAGAAGCTGCCATATAACCATACTCTTGACAATATTGTTTATATGAATCGTACAATGACCTTTCATCTAAACACTCAAAGTTAGTCTCATCTATAAACAGTTCATATACACTCTTGTTTGCTTCTAACAATGTTTGTCTTTCTTCGGTATGTGGAATTTGTCTTGGATTGAACTTAGAAATATCTAATGTCATGAAATATGAGAACAAGTGGTTGTAAAAGTTAGGTGTCAAAGTTTCTGCTAAGTCGTCAAAATATTCTGTATCTTGCATATGAGAATCTGACGTTCTGACAACTACATATCTTCTGTCAGAACTTTCTAACTTCATCGGAACAACATTGTTTGAAACCATGATGAAATTTGCAACATTTTCACAAACTCTTTGGTCTTTATATTTTCTTTCAACAACTCCAACTTGTCTGTTATAAGACTCTTCAAAGCATCTGAGTTTAAAACCTTTGTTGTATCTATACTTTGAAGTTCGTTACATACTATAAGTTTCATATTCTCTATTGAAGAGTTAAATTTACCGCAGATGTTTTCTAAGTTTGTCATATTAGGGTTCGAATAGCCCTCTAACAGTTTGCACAAAATATCTGTAAAAAGAAAGTGTTCTTACCAGTTCCTTGTTTTCCAATTATAATGAGAGCAGTTTCATTTTTAGCACTTGGATGTTGTAAGATGTTTGCAAACCAACATAAGATATACTCATAGACTCTTTCGTTTCCATTGCATATAATTTCTTTGACTGGTCTAACCAAGCTTCTATAACATTTTCTTTCCATTCTACTTGTTCATATTTATATCCAGTGAAGATAAATAGAATTTTGGAGATGGTGTATAGAACTTTATACCACGAACTGAAAAAATCTTCTAACTTTGACAATAAAATATCCCAAGCATCTAACATCTTCATACCAACTTGTACGACTTTTATTTTCTTAAGTTTCTGTCTACATTCTTGTTCTGAAACTATGGTTGCTCTTGGTTTGTTAAAGACAACATCCCATTCTTTCATGACATAACATTCTGGGGCAGAGTCGACATAAATGACTAAACGTTTCAAATTCTCGACTGCTTTGTTATAGTCTCTAAATGGACACATATTTCTGAAGCTTGGAAGTCATAAAAATCTGAAACGTCTATTCTGTACATTTTTATAAAAATAAAAAAAAAATATTTTTTATTCTTGACTTTGTTGTTGCATTTGTTCCATTTGTTGGCATTTTGTTGTTCTTGAGCTATTTGTTGTTTGAAGTTGTTCTTGTAGTACAATACTTTCACCAGTTGCATCTTCCAATTCGAAACTTTCTGCCGTCATTGACAAATACATAGGACATAAAAGTTTTACAGGAACAAAGTTTGCGTCAACTAAGGTTAAGTTTATGTTTGCTAAAGTGTTTGAGTTTACTAAAGCTGAAAACTCTGCATTCGAATGAACAATAGGCAAACCAGCAGAGAAAGTGTTGTTTATACGCATGAGTATCTTTTGGTCATAGTAGTTTCTGTCGATATTCGAATAGCACTTTGAACCTAAGTTTGAAACAATATATAAATAGGTGTGCTTAAAGTCAATGGAACAGATAGACCTTGTATGACACCTTTTCCTGTTATAGGAAACTGTTGGTAGTAAAAACCAGATATAAGTTTTGTATTATAGCTCATATCGTTTATAGTAAACTCAGTCGGACATCCAAACATAATGAAACCTGCTCTAGTTGCAGCACATGTTACATCCGTCCTTAAAGTATTAAATAAGTCAAAAAACCTGTTGGTGGTATATCTGAGTAAGTATCTTCAAAGAAGTATTTTTTACCATTCACAACAACAAAGTCTTCTGGTGTCAAAAGAGCAAAACAGGCTTTAGTCGTCATTGTGTTTAAGTTAGTTTACAATATCGTCCTTGAGGACTTTGTAAGTTTGTTGTTATAGAATTATATGACTCAGGGTTTTTAGTCGTAATAGTATAAACCACTATGTCTTCTGCCATTTACTTAGCAAGTAAATTTTAATGAAATGTTTGGTCGTCAAATATTTTATGACGTCTGGGAAACTATACTTTAAGTTCAACGTTTCACCTCCTTTCATAACGTATATCTTGTCAATGACATTGTATGAAACACCACAGCAACTAATGTCGGGTTCTATTTCTTTGATGTTTATATCGTCTGCCTCTGTCAAAAGTTTCAATAGTTCTTTCAAAATTTCATGAGGTGCGATGACATACGAGTTCACTTTTACAGGGTTGTGTTCGACCAAGTTTAACATTATACCCAAAGCCTGACAAATCTTCTCCTGAGTTTTAAGTTTGTCTTTAAGTTGTTGGTAGTCGTTTCGAATATCTGCAACAGAACTTAAGTCTCTGCAACTTCAGGGTATGTTGGTTGTTCTTTTACAGGAACTATTGTTATACCATCTTCGTCTTCGTATGGTTTCCCCACTTCAACATCTCTTTCTTTGACATTGACAACAACACTTTGACTGTTTGTTTGAGTTGGTGAATTTAACTTCACATCTGCCACCGCCATTAAACCTTTTGAAACACTTACGCTTCTATTTTTCGGAAATGACATTTTACTTCGAATAAAAAGATGGACGTATTGAGTATCTCTTCGAATTGAAGCAAACAAAGTTACACACACAAACAATACAAATACATTGACAGAATAGTTCTTTACACAAACAATGGAAAATGTTATAGAATAGCAGTCTTTGCTGAACCAAAATATTTTCATTAAAGCAAAGAAAGTTGGTATAACTGAAATGGTGAAAGTTCTTGAAGCAGACAAAAATATAACTTCAAAACTTACAGATATTTCTAAAGGTAAGTTTATAATACAATTATTATGTCAAAACTGGCGTACTGTCAATATTTGAGAGAGAAGTCAGTTCAAGAACAACTTACTGACCTGCTGCCAAAAATCTGCTCGATGGAAGCTGTCGTTATTTACCAATCTGAGGAGCCCCAGCAGGTTTCATCGAACGAATCTTCAAAAGAGCATCTTCCGTGAAAAGTGCTATTGGTTTTGTAAACTTCTTTGCTTTCAATTCATCTGGACCGTCTCTGTCACCAGTTATATTGTATTTGAACTGAACCAACAGTTGAAATACCACCCATAAAAGTCTTCTGAGTCAGCAAATGGAATGCCAAGCCAAAAGTTTGAACGGTCTCCATTTGTATATTGAGTTTTTTGACCTCCTGTATGAGTCCATACTTTCACATATGGCATAATAGAACTTTGCATTTCAGGGTTAATGGTTGTTGTGAAGTTGTTGTTAAAGTTCATAGCATCTAATGTCAAGTTGTATGACCTCATATCCTCAACTGTAGAATATTCTTCTCTTGGATAATATTTGCCATCTATGTTTATATGGTATTTAATACCAGGGTTGTAGAAGCAAGAATAGTCATTTATAGTTCGTCTGAACAGTACAAACATAGTATCTGCATGTTTCATTGCAGTTGTTAAAGCAATATCTGTTCTTGCACCTGGGTCAGCACTTTGGTTTCCAACTTCACCTGCAAAGTCTTTGACAGATATTTGGTGTATAGGGAACATAAGTGGAACTGCAATATATTTGGCAGCTAAAGCATTTGAAATATCTGGGTCCAACATATAGACTGCAAGTCTGCTTTCTATTCTCTTGCATTCAAACTTTTCGCATGTGAACTTAACTGGGTCCCAAGCATCTCCAGCAGCATTGAAATAATAGTTTACTTCAGTGTTGAGGTTTGAGAAACCAAAGTCTAAGTCAACTTTGTTTTTGCAAAAGTCGGCGAATGACATTTTATTTGTTCCCACTACTTCTGTAAGAGTGAATGGGTCTTGTGTTGGTGCAATGACTAAGTTATTTTTGCTTGGAGTAAGTTCGATAGAAATTTTTCCTGCCCAGTTTGGCAAGTATCTTAAAAACCTGAAGATGAGGAAAGATGACAAAGGAACTCTAAGTTTCAGTTTTACTTTGGTTACTGCTGCTGCAGTTTGTCCAGAAAGGTCAACATAAACTCCTGGAACGTTAGGGTCAAGTCTTCTTATTTTCTCAATAGTTGCATACTGGTCTGTTTGTTCTCTAGCTTGTGGTTGTACTGAGTTTCTCAAAGCGAACCATTCATAGTTTGCCCATGTTACTGTTTGAACTAAGTCAGAGTTAGAATATATCTTATATCCCATGAAAACTTCTGGAGCATATTGGTATCCGACATAGAAAATTCCATTGCAACCTTTCTTGTCAGACAACTTGGCAGAAGGTTTTATTTCAATGTCTTGTTCCACGTATAAGAATGAGTTGTCAATAGAAATAATATGAAACCTGTCGCAAGCAATATCTACTGTTGTTGAAGAACCTTCTCCAAACTCACCTACATTTCCATAAGAAACAGCAGTTGTATATTCGTAAGTTCCAGGAACTATTTCTGACCTTCTAATGGCATTGTCGCATTCGTTATACCATTCGAAACATTTCCATTCATAGCATCCAAAACTGTTGGCGTTATATTCTGAGCGGCGTACATTTCATATGAGTAAAAATATAGAATAGTTGGATTTATATGTCATAATAGAACCCACGTGGACCAAGCTTTACTTTCTTCCTGACTGAGTTTTTAACTCTTCTTTTTCCTTCATTGCCCTCTGCTTGAAGTTGTTGCATCTTTGCATTATGTTCATCTAGTATGTTGCAAATTTCCCATGTCCTTTTTGCCTTTTGGCTCTGGTCGCCCATCTCAGGTAACCTATATCCTAGAAAGAGTTTGTCATAGTTTGTATTTGAGTCTTTGCGTATTGTTTGCATGACTCTTTCCTGAGTTTCCGGTTCAAGCTCTTCAAACAGTGCCTGTCCATATGGAATAAGCTCGTTTCCAAATATATGTTTTTGTAGCCATTCTGGTTTTCTTTCCATGTTACCAACTATATCTTTTGTGAATGGGAAAGCTTTTACCCAATCTTTCAGTCTTGCGTCGTTTATTTCTGTAGTTGGTTTTATTTTGTCAAGGAACATGTTTTTCAATACTAACATTTCATTTGGTACTGTCCATTTGAGTTTTCTTAAATATTCATCCCTTCTCGGTTCATTGTCTGCAAAGTAAGTTTTTATGACATTTTGTAAACTTTCGTTTGCAAGGTCATGTACAATAGGTTCTCTTCCTTCGCTCTCCCTAACTTTCTTTCTAAACTCTTCACCAAATATACCATCTCTATGGTTCTGTGTAGTTCTTTGAGATAAATGTTCTAGAACGTCAGGTGTTATATTTCCATCAGCCATGTTCATTTCATACTGGTCCAAAATATCTGCATGTTTCATATCTTTCAATGGCATTAAAGCCGCGCTTAAAATACCAGCTATATCTGGTTCACCATTGACTTCCATTGCGTCTACAACTTCTTGGAATTGAGGTTGTAAGTTTATGAACCACCTATCCGGGTTAGCTTTATGACCCCATCTCATTGTAGTTCCATCGTCTGCAGAAACAAAAGTAGGTTTGTTTCCATCTTGGTTAGGTTCTGAATGAACTTTAAACAATGTTTCATTTCTATATGTTTTCTTGAAATTTAACCTTTTATTTTCACCGAGTTCATCCGAAGATTGAACGTTAAATGCTCGTAAGTAAAAAGGGTTGTTGTATTTGTGTACATTTTTTTTCAGTTCTTCCATTCTATGCTGAATATTTTCATCTGGTGCTGGAGTCTTTTGTATGTCGGCAAACATTTTTCGATATTCTTCTACTATGTCAGCCGAATTTTTTTTAGACTCTTGGAAAGATTCCATATTCACCTCATACTCTTGTTGAGGGTCAAGATTTTTCGGCTGTTCCAAATCTTCATCTAGTTCTGTGAAGTTAGTTTCCAAAGGAGGGACTTGTTCGTTTCCTTCAGGCTCTTCTAGCTGTTGTTGCTGAACTATTTCTTCCATGTCTGGTTGTATCTGAACTATTTCTTCCTGTGGAGTTTCTTGTACCTCATCTGCTGGCATTTCATATATTCCGAGACCGTTTTCAACAATTTCCCTATCTACGTCATCCGCATTCATAAGCCTTTGTTCTTTCGTTCCGTCTCCTTTTTTTACGCGTTTCATGACGAAAGTTGAATTGTCATTTAGCTCTGACATCAAATATCTCGGAGTAAATTCGTTCATGTCATTTGGATGATATGCTATTAAATCATATCCCTTAGCGAGCTTGTATTTTCCAGGTTTGAGATTATATCCGTTTTGGTGCTGAGCCATAAAGCTAAATAGGTTCGGGTCAGTATTTCCATCCTTGAACTTTCCAATAGCTTCTTTATATCTGTCACTAAAGTCAACAGTATCTGGGAAACCACACTCTTCTTTAAGCATTTTTAAGAATTCTTGGTTTCCTTGTTCTCTACTTCTTTTATGTCCTTGCTCTGTTTGTGGTTGTTGTTGTGCAGGGTTTTGAACTGTTGGTTGCTGTGCAGGGTTCTGAACTGTTGGTTGCTGTGCTGGTTGTGGAGGTGGTTGTTGTGCAGGGTTTTGAACTGTTGGTTGCTGTGCAGGGTTCTGAACTGTTGGTTGCTGTGCTGGTTGTGGAGGTGGTTGTTGTGCAGGGTTTTGAACTGTTGGTTGTTGTGCATGCCTGTGTCTGTGTCCATGTGACGATGTAAATGTTTTAGGTAGTCCTGGTGCAGGTGCTTCTCTTGGAGGGTTTGGTGGTATATAAGTTCCACCAGCTGGCACATATGTTCCATCTGCAGCGTAATGTCCTACCTGACTTTTCGTTTTTAAGAAAGCATTTACTAGGTCTGTTTTGGTCTGTTGTAACTCTTTTTCTTGACTTTTCACAACAGTTGCTCTAACGGCGTCATAGGCACTTTGAACTGCCTGTCTCGTTGCTGCATCTGTTATTTTCGTCATATTTTGTGCTACTTCTTTTAACTCTTTGTCGAAACCTTCAGACTTCAGTTTCTTTCCAGATGAGAAGTCGTTCACTTGTTTCACCTTACTATGAAGAGCTTCGAAAGCGTTCTTAAAGTCAGCATTTGTTAAAGCTTCATTTGAACTATCTTCATCCGCTTGTATTTTTGTCCTTATTGACCCTATGAGTTGGGCTGCTTTAGCGTTGGCTTGGGCATCTAACCAGTCATTGTTAGCTTTTATATATTCTGCGCTTTTCATTGCCTTTTGCATGGCTGCGTCGTTATTTTTACTTTCTTGTGCTAAGTTTTCATACTGTACGGTTTGGTTTTGCAACTGTAAAAGTTTTTCTGCCTTTACATTTGCTTCAACTTCTTTTTATACTCATCGCTATCCATATATGTCTTCAGGGCTTTTTGTTTTATCTCTTCATCTTTCAGTATTTTATATTGAGTAGTATGGTTTTTCAAATTTATGACATCTTGTTCCATTTTTGCTACTTCTGCTGCTTTTTCTGACACTTTTTTTCGCATATTCCTCTGTACTTAGTTCTTTCAGTTGTTCTTCTTTCTTCTTTTTCTCTACGTTTAACTCATTGAGTTTCTTTGTGTGTCTGTCATATTCTAGTTTCTTTTCGTTTTCACTTATTTGCTTCTGTATGTCTATGTTTGACTTTTTGACATCTGTTATTTGATTTTTGAGTGAACTCAAATTCATTTGACTTTGAGGGTTATAGGCTGTTCCGTCTGCAGCTCCACCATAGCCTGCCATTTTCGCTAAAAGTGCCGCTCTTAAACCTCCACTCTGTGCACCAACAACTCGGTTTAAAAGCATAGGATTGCTTGACATTTGTTGCAACATAGTGGGGTCATTCAGCATTTGTTGTTGCAACTGTTGTTGTGGTGTCAGTTTTACTATTGGATGTTTCAATGCTCTCTTCCTCTTACGTATATTCTTACGTAGCTTACGTGGCATTTTAAGTGAAGTTAAAAAGCGGTTTTTGACAGATGTTTTATTGTGACTTCTTCGTAAAGACTTTGTTGAGATTTCTTCGTAAATGAGTGTAAATGACCAAAAAATAATGTTTATGTTAGAATGTTAGATCTAACACCTTTTCTAACATGTTTTCTAACATCGTAGAAAACTCATGAATTTCTTCGTAAAGACTTTGTTAAGACTTCTTCATCTAATTTCTCATGAACTTTCTTGTCTATGTTTTGTTAAGATTTCTTCGTAAATGTTTTGTTAAGATTTCTTCGTAAATGTTTTGTTGAGATTTCATCGTAAATGACCCTAGTAGTATATTTTTGGTGTAAATTTCATGAAAATTCAAGAGTTTTAGACCATGTTAGAAAACATGTTAGAAAACATGTTAGATCTAACATTCTACCCTAAAATATATTTTTGGTGTAAATTTCATGAAAATTCAAGAGGGTAGAAAAGAGGTTAGAAAAGAGGTTAGATATACCCTTCTACCCTAAAATATATTTTTGGTGTAAATTTCATGAAAATTCAAGAGGTTAGAAAAGAGGTTAGATATACCCTTCTACCCTAAAATATATTTTTGGTGTAAATTTCATGAAAATTCAAGAGGGTAGAAAAGAGGTTAGAAAAGAGGTTAGATATACCCTTCTACCCTAAAATATATTTTTGGTGTAAATTTAATGAAAATTCAAGAGTTTTAGACCATGTTAGAAAACATGTTAGAAAACATGTTAGATCTAACATTCTAACATAAACATTATTTTTGGGTCATTTACACTCATGAACTTTCTTGTCTATGTTTTGTTAAGACTTCTTCGTAAAGACTTTGTTAAGACTTCTTCGTAAATGTTTTGTTAAGACTTCTTCGTAAATGTTTTGTTAAGACTTCTTCGTAAATGTTTTGTTAAGACTTCTTCGTAAATGTTTTGTTAAGACTTCTTCGTAAATGTTTTGTTAAGACTTCTTCGTAAAGACTTTGTAAAGACTTCATTTATACTCATTCATCCTCAGGGCTAGAAGGCACGAAGTGCCTGGAAGCCCCACTCCCTTTTTTTTTTTTTTTTTTTTTTTTTTATATAAGATTAACAATCATATAACATTGTCATTTTTCATAAAATGAAGGTCGAAAAATGGCGACTATTCAAAAAATGAAATGTTTTGGGGAGCAGTGGATCTAGTATCTATATCTAATGTAATTTCAATTGGCTTAAAGATAATGGCATTATCTCCTTTTTGAAAAATTTTTCATATCGATATCCCTTCATATTCGCCTGTAGTGGGAGTATATATAACAAGACGATGGAATGAACGTTTTTGGCATATGCACTTTCAGATTATGCATATAACTAAGAAAAATCAATATAAGACTGATTTCGATATCAATATTGTCCACAAGATACCAGCTATTTATAGGGGTTTGTAATAGAGAATCGAGATCTTGAATTTACAAATTGAGGGGAAAACGATTACAAGATTTTAGCCAAAGAAATGGATCTTTCTCATCGACTTCCATATCCAGATCCAGACGTCTATCTTAATATTTTCTCAGATGGTAACATAAAGAGCTGCTATCGAGATCTTTACGCAAAATACGGAAAAAAAATTACAATAGCCATGGGAAAAATCACAAAAGAAATACAAAATCTTGATGAAACAGAAGTTTTTGCATGCTTTAATGCTGCAAGGATTTGTATTTTTAACAATTCTCCAAAAATTCGTCGAGATGCACTTTTTTTAATTGCTGAAATATCAAAAACTTACTTGACAGAGCATACATTACCTTACTTTTTGATTCTTGCACATGATGATAATGCTCAAATCAAACAAGACGCTTCCAAGGCTTTGGCTGCAATTTCTAGAAAAATTGGTGGCCTTAAGAAAGCAAAAGAAATCGTTATTTCGGCTTTAGGATCTATGGGTGCGACAGCCTTTAACAGAGAAAACTTAATTGACCCAGAAGAAATTCTTGGAAAATCTAGGATCGCAGGAAGTGTTTGCTTATCATCATCACAGATTCTAGGTGTTATGATGGATGATCTCAAGCAAAATGAGAAAGCAGAACTGCTCCAATACATCAGAAAAGCAACAGAAGGATTATACGACACTCTCAATGACATTCAAAACTCTTCGAACGATACATTGTTTTATTCACCACGATTACGATCGGCCTTATACAAATTACACTATGAAGCTCTTCCGATTCCGAAATGTCCACATCCATTAGTAGAAAAGCTTCTTTTGGAAATAGATCCGCAATGCATGAAAGTGGCTGCACAATTAATACCAAAATTATGCAAAGAAGACCAATGGAAACTTTTTATTCAAAATCCATTATATTTGAACGAGTTTTACAAAGAATTTCTTGCAAATTGTGATGACTCTACTATCAATATTTCATTGAGCCGCAATTTGTCCCAAGAAAATATGACAAATGCTATAAATTTACTCATCAAAAATAATTTTCAGAATATTGATGTAGTTGCCATATGCAACAATCCATACGTATGGAGTATATTACCAGAGAAGCTAATTCGTGATGTTATTAAGTGCGCAAACACAATAAATCCGAAAAATGTAATTCTTTATTCGAAATACTTTGATAATATACAGCAAATACGTTTCCCAGATAAGTCATTACCAGAAGAAATGGCAGCAGCCCTCATTTCCGTTGCAAAAACAACAGATATTAATTATATCGAGCAGCAATGGCCAAATGCCACCAACAACTGTATAAGGATATGGAACAAATCCCCTAAAACAGATTGGTGGAGCGATATCTTGAAAGAAAATTTGAGATATTACATTGAAGACGACTGTGGCGCGATATCCATGGCAGTTCCCGTATCAGAATCATCCAATTTCGCAAATTTGGTCGCAGAAGTTGTAATTGATCGATTAAATAAAGGCCAAGAAGTTACAGATGATATGTGGTACGCAACAGCAATAACAGATCCGTTAATTGACGTTATCATTAAGCTTAATCCAAATATCCAGATCGAAGCAACCAAGAAACAGGACATTTATACTGCAATTTATCAAAATATTATTATTAATACAGATGAAAGCGAAGCTGGTGAACTTATCGGCCATATCTCATTATCATCACAAACTTCCTTGATGGAATTCCCTAATAGCTATGACTTTTTGTCTCATTTCTTCAAAGTTGTCTCAATTGCAGATGTTCCAGAGGACATAGAGCTTCAATACCTCAAAGACTACTTCGAAATATCATACTCAGACTTCCTCCTTCACGTTTTCCTTGGAAAATTCGATGCAAGTATTTTAGATTCTTCAATTTCGAAATTTGTATATTCTATACCTTTCGAAAGACGTCAGAATCTCCTCAGCCAGTCAATCCGCAACCAATTTATCGAAAATTCCGTAATTTTGCTGATTTCTGCAGATGAAAATGACAGAAATAAGCTCAAAATCGATGAATGCGATATCCTAGCACCGTATCTATCGATGATGAATATAGATTACGACTGGAAATCCGATTTTGCCAAGTTTTGCCGCGGAGAAAAAATTGATATCTCAAATTTCAAAGGTTCAATGGAGGAACTGCTATGGATAGCCACAAAAGAAAATTGTCCACAGTATATAAGTAACATTTGCGCATCAATTTTCCCTGTTTCTCTATCTATTAACTTCCATCTTTTCATTTCAGCACTTTTGAATACAGATATCGAAACAACCAAGTTCAGAGAGTTATTGGATACAGCTCTGCAGTCATTAGATAACTTGACTCCTTTAGATCCTCAAACTGTTTTAATTTTAAGCGACTGCTTCGCGAAAATGTCCTTACTACAAGCAGACGAGCTCATTTCCTTCTGCTCTTCAGTAAGCTCATTACTCGCTTCCCAACATGTCCCTTCAATCGTCTCTTGTTTACACCATTCAATTCCATTTTTCTTACAAAAAGTGACACGCGAAAAATGGATTGAATTGAGAAATTCACTTAGCCAAGGCCCTGTATCTGGTCTCATTGAATTTGATAGCATTATATCGGAAATGTTCTCAGAAGATGATTTGTCGATGTTTAGAGACTTTCCAAGCGCTGCTTCAAGATTTTACGCGAATTTCAACAAGAAAGATGAGCTGAAAGACTTATTATCAGGACTCTCCCACCAGATGATAGAAGATGAACTCAAGAAAGCCCAGAATTATACAATAGAAAACATATTAATCTCAGTAGATGTAAATTCTCATACAATTCATGCGGAAAGTATATCTACAGATGATCCATTTACACTCGATGTAATTATTCCTGACATCTATCCACTCGAAACTCCTCTTTTCCGCGTGTCTTCCATAGGAAAAGAAAAACTTACACAAGATGCAAGGGATGAAGTGAAGAAAGAGTGCATGAGACAGGATGGAATCTTCGCAGCTATCTCAACATGGGCTGCTCGCATTGATTCTGTCATTTCTAAAGTAGAAGTTTGTCCAATTTGTTTATCTTTACTCGATGCAGGCATGAACTTGCCGAAAATGAAATGTTCAACATGCCACAAGTGTTGCCATGCTTCCTGTTTAGAAAAATGGCTCAGAAATTCACTCAAGAAAAATTGTCCATTTTGCAGAACGAAATGGCACCGCCAGAAGTGATTCTTTATACATTTTCCTAATATTATTTTATTTTATTTTGTATTTTTATATTAGATATAATAAAAAAAGATTTGTTTATGTAATGTCAACAACGGATTTACCAATGAAATACTGAGCTTTTGTACCATTTAAAAAAGCATTAAATTGTAAGTTTCTCTTTGATAATTTTAATAATTTTCTCTATTTAAGTTTATTTTTAGAAAGGAAAGCATATTGTACTCTAACATAATTTGTTATTATGATATAACTAATTAATAAACATTTTTAGCAGATTCAATGACTATTTTGGGTACCTTACAGCAAATAAATACTATTTTGAGGTTATTAATAAGGTTTGCAACTCCAAACATCTTTATTTCATCCTGCATTCAAATTCTCAAAAAATACATCGATTTTTGTGATAAAGCACGTTAGAAAATATAGAAATTATTCAATAGTCATTCAATTCATTTTCCCAAAAAATGGCGAAAATGATTCTTAATATTAATTAAAGAAATACAAAGAAAATTTGATATTAATATACTATTTTTAATGGTTAATAATTGATTTTCAAAATCGAATTTAAAAATCATAGGTTAATTTCAGGATATATGCACTTCTTTAGTTTCCTTTTTTGGCAGGAAATTTGATATTCCATCGTCATCTTTTCATTTTTTTTGCTTTACTGAATAAAGCTGTTACATCTCTTTAAAATACAATCTTTGCTTCACCAAAATATTATTATGAACACCGCAACATACACATACAATGATGGAACTCTCTTCATTTCAGGCTCAGGCTCTGTCATTTTTAATGATACACAGGAATTCAAGGAAAACACGACATCAATCATTATAAATGATACAGTAGATACAATTGGTGAGAGTTCATTCGAAAACTTCACTATTTTAAAGAAGATTCAATTTGATTCTCCATTAAAAATCAAAGATAGAGCATTCTTTGGATGCAAGTTACTTTCAGATGTTATAGTAAATAAGGACTTTTCAGAGATTGGAGCTCATTCATTCGAAAATTGCTTCTCTCTCAAAACTTTTAAGATTCCTTCAACTTGCCTTAGTATACCAGATTATGCTTTTCAAAACTGTGTGTTACTTGAATCGATTGAGCTTCATGACAACATTACTTTAATTGGAAATTCTGCTTTCAAATATTGCAGCAGTTTACAGATCACATTACTTCCAAGTTTACTTAACAAACTCGGAGAGGCAGCATTTGCATATTGCGAAGGAATAGAAAGGATAAACATGATGTGTGAAATAAAAGAAATTCCAGATTACTTATTTTATCAATGCATCAACTTAAATACAATTTGGATTCCAAACGTTACAAGTATCGGCCATCGTTCATTTGAGTCATGCGCATTTATTAAATTTGATATCCCATTAACTTGCCAATACATCGAACTCGACTCATTTACAAGCTGCAATCTCCTAAACATATTAACAATGCCAATGTTTAACCTTAATTTCTCGTATTCTCCTTTCGTTACATGTCAAAAACTCGGAAAAGTGACGGTTTTTGATGGTGACGGCTATGAAAGCAGTGTTTTACCATCAAATCTTTTGAGTGACTGCGTTTCCGTTTATTATTTCAGAATTTCAAGTTATAAGATTAAGAGATTTGGTAAAAATTGTCTCAAGAATTGTGTCGGACTCTATGAAGTGATTTATTTCTTAATTAACAATGTCACTTTTTATCCTGAAGATCATTGTGATTTAGTCAGTCTTAGGACATTGACAATTGCTATTGATAATTTCACTATGACACCAAGATGCTTTGCAAATCTTCCAAACTTAGAACAAGTTACAATTGGCACAATGCATGAAACATTTAGTGAAAACTTATTTGAGAATTGTGACAAATTAATCTCTGTTTCAATCTCAACAAACAACAGTTTAGTCTTGGCTTCAAAGACATTTTATAAGATGAAGAATTTACAAAAAGTTGGCATTTTAAGTAATGGTATTTTTATTGGCGAAAGTTGCTTCGAAGAATGCAGCAATTTAGTTCAAGTAAGTTTGGATTGCTTAGATACAAGAATAGGAAACAAAGCTTTCAAGAATTGCCATAATTTCTCAGCCTTCGCTTATAAAGGAACATTAGTTGAAGTTGGAGATTATTCTTTCGAAGGCATTCAATTCAAGAGATTCGGATTGAGAACATCTGCTGTTTTGACAATCGGAAATTATGCATTTGCCAATGTTAAAACAATGACTTATTTCGTATTAATGGGTGATGGAAAGGTCAATATCGGAAATGGAGCTTTCTATGGCTGCACAGAATTAGCTACATTCGGTCACTCATTATATATTAACAAATTGGGTTATTCAGTTTTCAAGAATTGCTATAAATTAAACTATTTGACAATAGATCAAAATTTGGAAGGTTTGCCAAGTTCAACATTTAGTAATTGCCAAAAAATGCAGTACTTCGAATGCAGCGGAGAATTGAAGTATATTAGTGATAGATGCTTCGAAAATTGTGTCAATCTCCAATATATTAAAGTGAACAGTTCTCTTCAATATTTAGGAAACTATACTTTCTCAAATTGCATCAATTTACAGACTATTGACTTATCAAAGAGAGTTATCGAGAAAATCGGATCATATTGCTTTAACAACTGTTCATTGTTGACAAACTTTACAAATATTTCTGTCAAATATATCGAAGATGCTGCATTTGTAAAGTGTCAAAAATTGTCAGAAATTTCATTAAAGGGAACAACCAAATTATTAGGTTATAAATCATTTTATAACTTAAGCAGTTTGCAGTCATTCAGTATAGTAGAATCAGAATATGACACATTAACAATCAATGAACTTTGTTTCTACAATTGCCAGAATTTGCAAACTTTTTCTGTCAAATCAGCATTGAATTTAAAGACAGAATGTTTCAAGGATTGCCACTCATTGACAAACTTTAATGTTGATGAAGTCACATATATTTCTGAAGGAGCATTTTGCAACTGCTATTCATTGACGAAGATTCCTTTGATTCAAACAATTAAATTCATTCCACCATTCGCATTTTGCAATTGCTCGAAATTAAACATGAATAATGATTTCCATTATGTCGGAGACTACGCATTCTATAACTGCATCAGTTTATCAAATGTCACATTGTCAATGCTAATTCATGTAGGAAGATATTCATTCTTCAATACATCATTAAATGAAATTAATTTGACACAAAAATTGACATTTTTGGGACTTAAATCATTCTCATCAATTAATGAATTAAGTAGTGTCAACATTTTGAATAATGTCGAAGTATTTGAAGAAAAAGTATTTTCAGATAATAAGAAATTATCAAATGTAGTTTATTGTGGTTTGAATTCAAATATTTCAACTGATTTTGAAGGCAGTGAAAAGCTTAATAAGATTTTTGTTTCCAGACACTTCAATTCAAGTAATTTCTCAATGGAAACTGAATGGACACATTTATGCGATACAGAAGAGGACAAACAAAATGACAAGAAGACTTTAATTATTTATAGTTCATTCATCGCAGCAATTTCAGTTTTAGTTATTATTTTATTTGTTGTAATCCTTATTATCTGCATCAACAAGCAGAAGAAAGATAATTTGGATTCAACAGTCTTATTATCAAATCCAACTAATCAAACTTTGGCTTAAATTTTTTTATACAATGATATTTTTCATTTTACAATTTTTTTATTGGCCACTAAACATCTATTTTAACTTATTTGATAACATATACAATTAGTGTATGCTCTTTTTTTAATTCAAATGTATATTCTTGGTGCAAAACAGATAATATTACATGATCATTTCATGACAATCCTTAGTGACATTACTCACAACTTTTTGACAACAATTAATATATCATTATGTTCAATCAACAAGTTTTTTTTTCTATGACAAGCGCAATAAACATCTTTCTAATGTATTTATGATACCTTAGTATTCACCATTTATCTACAACATTTATTACCACATTTAAAATAATGATACCATGACTCCATTTCTTTAATGAAAATACCTGATATAAATAATCAAAGCAATGCTATAAGGTCGCCAAAAAAAGGTGCGGAAATAAAAAACCGCAGTTTGAGTACTTTCTGAGGGTCTGTTCGTCAGAAAGTATATATTTGTAAACTTTCTGACACTAAATTTTTTTGGTCCTTTCAAAGTATTTGACAATGTCAAAAAGTATACATCGGGGCTCTCAATTTTCCTCTCAAAAGGCGGTTTTTTAAAAACGCTCAATTTATCATCGACCTTACTAAGTGTTCAAAACATTTTTTTACATCATGAATGTACAAATAAAACATTAATGATATCTTAGTTTACACTATTTTATTAAAACAGTATTAAATTAAATAAAAGAAAGATTGATTATTTGTATAAAAAAACACATATAAATAAACAGTTTATTCATCAATATCTTCATTGATTTTTGGTGTATCTTGGAGATTTTTCTTCTTTTTCCTCCTTCTTTTCTTTGCCTTTTTGTTGTAGTCACCAATAAGTGCAGGCATGTTCGGAGTTTCATCCAGAGCGATGAACAAGTCAATACGGTTCTGCATATTCTTAAAGAATATAGATAGCGGCTGATGCGACCTAATTATGAACTTCAGCGCGAGCAAAGAAATGAAAGTGATCAAACAAATCATGGACATGACTCTTCTAGTGCCTGAATGGACAATTTCTGGATAGAAGTCATCACCTTGCTCTTCTTCCTCTTCCTGCTCAAGAACAATGAACTTTCGACCTTCTTTTACGTAAACATCAAAAATCATTTTGTAAATCGCATTAGCATTGATTGGAACGTTGCGTAACTTGAACGGAAGATCAAGTTTCTCGTAGAAAACAAACCCTATGCACTTCCAAATCTCTGTATAAGCGCTCCATCTGTTCCACGGTTTTCCTTTCCCGGCAAAATGAACACCACAAGCGTAGATGTAGCGGAACTGAGGGTCACGAGCATTTCCGAGTATGGTATGTTTGTATCCTCCGTTTTCATGCATGATTGCAAGAGGATAAAGTGAAATTTCGCTTCTGTATACAATATTTAGTGGTGCCAAATCATCCTTACCTAATGTCTTATCATCCTTTCCAGGATTTTTCAGATATTTCGTAGTTGTTTCGAGAAGTTCAACATATTTTAATAAATCTGGCTCAATGAGCATAAAATCTGGATTGAACATGACACCATTATCTTTAGGACCATAATCCGTCATATAATAGGCTGACGATGGTGTATTCCATCGAAATGCTTGTGTAAGATCTGTAAAAATCATTGTATCTGCTCCGATATATAATATTTTTTCATATTGCGTTAAAGTCCATGCTTGAAATTTGAACCATTTTGCATGATATAGCTTTTTCGGATTAAATTGTTCCGGCCATTTCAAAACTGGCCTAAATAATATATGCGTCCATGCTTTTTCCAGGATTCTACAAATGGCTGCATCTCTTCTGAACTCTTCTCTCACAATAACAACTCGGTCAATCGTTGGATTAAACATTTTTAATGAGTGCCCGAGGACAGTTAGCATCTGAATATAATCAAATGATGGTGCAAGATCATTTGAATACGATGAAACGAATGCATACTTCGACCGAGGTGGTAAATCCTGCGAATTATTGGCATAATGAAGATTCGCATCAATATAATCATTCCAATCGTAGACTTCTTCAAAAATTTCATTTTCTTCTTCGTCATCGTCGATATCGCAAGCAACAATGACGAAGAGAAAAGAAATCATAAAAATTAATTGAATAAAAATTTGAGTACAACAATTTCTGAAATCTTTTTATAAAAAATCTGGAATGAAATATAATAACCGAAAAACAACTTAATTTAGAAATTCTATTGAGAGTAAAATTGAATGTAGATTTTATCATCTTTGTCTAGATTTGGCATTGCATTTAGATGGTCATTATTTGAAAATTCGATTTGAAAATGACTGTGAGTAGTAGTATAGGATGGGTTTTGTGACTTTTTTTGTAAACGTAAGAATTCATACAATATTGAACGATTTTGTATCATTATTTTTAACATTAATTTTAAACATAATTTATTTTTTATTCTTACATAAATGACCCAACAAGTAAAACCAGATAAAATAGATTATCGAATTTTAGAGGATGGTGTTCCTGTTTATATTCAAAGATTTAAAGGGAAGCAATATTATAGAATTCTTAATCCTGAATACATAAAACATTTATTTAAAAAGGAAGACTGTGAATTATTAAACGTTAATGAATATGAAACCAATAAATCAAAATTGAAATATAAATATATTGGAAGTGATGAAAGATGTAAAGATAAAAATAAAGTTTAAAAATTCATGTCTTACATTTTTGAATAATTTATTTTTTTAATTCGTAAGAAAATGAGTGGATCAAGATTCGTAACCGTCAATCAATTAATGGATGCTCTTTCACCAATTCTTGAAAATGTTAAACAAGTAGATGTTTATTTCGATGATTATGTAGAAAGTTTATATTATAAAGGTAAGTTTAATATTAAACCTATTGCTTTTGCATTTGATAATAAATTAATTGAAAATGCAAAAATTTGGGAATTAATTCCGAATATTGAATTTATAACAAATATTAATGATAAATGGTTTAAACGAATTCCAACCACAAAAGTTCTTTGTAAATTAATGATCAAAACTGAGGAAAAAGAATTTAACGGGTTTAAATATCATCCAAATAAAGTTTCAGAACTAGAAAATGAAAAACTTCAGAAAAAATTAAACGATAGACTTTCAAATGATCGTATTGAAAAAATAAATAAACTAGCAGAAGTTGCATTTAATAATGAAATATTTGATGAATATAACCTTGAACTCAGTGATGGGCTTTAAGGACCCGGGCTCAACGAGTCATGATTTATGAAATCAATAATTTGATTTATTCGCTCTTCAATAATTTCTATTCTTTTTGTTAAATCATCTATTTTCATTAATGAGGTGATTCTTGATTGAGGAATAGATTTCAAACTAACCACTCCTTTTATTTTTGAAATTTTGAATCCATCAACTTTAAACATTTTATTCAATTTACATGTTGTCAATTCTTCAAATAATTTTTTATTATTAGCATAATAGTCATTAAATTCTTCAACAGATGAAAAAATTTTTATTTCAGTAATTGGTTTAACAACATTTATTTTTTGTTGAACATCTTTACTTTCATTTATTTCATCCTCCTTTGTTTCATTTATTTTTAAAATCGGTTTCATTTATCATTAAATAAAAATTAGAATATAAGTGATGAAATATATTTTTTAATTAATATTAAATCAGAAATGGCGGCAGGATTCTTTAAAAAATTATGGGAAGGAATTAAGAAAGCTGCAGGTTGGGTTCATCAAAAGATTATTAAACCTGTTGCAAACTTTTTGGCACCAGTAGCGAAAACGGCAGGAACTATCATAGGTGGAGTATTAGGTACTAAAGCAGGTAATCCGGCGATGGGAGCACAAACAGGTAACGCAATTGGTGGAATTGCTGAAGGAATACTTAATAAAATAGGAGGTAAATAGTGGAAAAATAAATAAATATTATTTTTATCTTAGTATTGGTTGTAGTCTTTGATAAACTTTTTCTCCTTTATTTAAAATTTCTCTTATTGGGGCGGCTTTTGGTGTTATTGATTCAGCAACGTCACTAATTGCTTCTTTATTCTTAAATATCCAATTTGCTCCCTTCTTCAATGTTTCCCAAACTTTATGCGCTCCTCTTTTTACTTTATCCCACAGTTTCTTAAATATACCTGCAGCCATAGTTGATTATTTCATTAAAATTAAAAATTCATTTTCAACTTTTAATTTTGAATTTTTATTTATTAATAAATGACGACTAACTATTTAGTGCCAAACACTAAACCAATTAATGGAAATGTATTTCATTCATTCGAAAAGATAAATGAAATATTCGCAAAGAATGATGGTAGAAGATATTATAGAGAACTTGAAAGTTCATGCTATGACTCTGATGCTCCATATTTTGATGATAAACAAACTCATTTAAGAATTACAAATCCGGCTCATGATGTGAACCAATTAGGTGACACATATATTAAACGCAAAGTTAAAGCAACTCTAGTTTCAAATAAAGCTTTCACATGTGATGCCGCTTTTAAATGCATGCGTTTATTCGTTGGTTACAAATCATCAAATCAAAGCTTTAAACAATTAGAAGTAGAAACTGAAAGAGGTGATGCTGGTTATCTTCAAATGGATTGCGCCCGTGAATCTTTCGCATTTGCAACATATAAACCAAAATCAGAAAGGAAAGTTAAAAAGTTTGTTCATTCGTTATATAATAATGTTCAAAAATATGATAACTCAGTATGTGGTAAATATATTGACCCTTCAGAAGTTTTCAAGAAAGCAAATGAAGAAGTTGATATCACTTTTGATATGATTATTCCGGTAAATGATTTGTTAGCATTTCAAGCGTTCGATGATTATCCTAAATCATTTGGTGAAATCATTCTTAAATATTATGTTTTCAGGGATACTTTAGTATTTTGTCAGGTTGACCCGTTAAGAGTTGCTGATTTACAAAATTACGTTTATGAAAAGATAACTGATGAAAATTATGAAAGATTATGAATCATGTTTATAAATATGATCGCAAATTCCAACAAATCGGACTTCCTGCCAATTAATTACAAGCTTAGCCACTACATCTGCTGACGCAACAGTTGATGACGTTATTATTTCATGCACAAAGATGGAAGTTTTAGAGGATAAATGTATTACACCAGGATACGGTTTAATTGAAGAATCAGTTAAAGCAATACCACGTTTATTTAGTAAGGAAGATCCATTCATGATTCCAGCTCAACATATTGACGTTCGTTCACTAAATGGAGGTTGCATCACTCCTGAAGGTATTAGCTCAGATTTCTCATACGCTCTTCATAATGTTACAGATGTTGTGTTAACATTTCCGAAGAATGCAATGCAAAGAACAGTTTTAGAAAATCCAATGCTTCGAGGTCTTCAGGTCACTATAGATTCCAGAAACTTCCCCGATCAAGCGATGACCACAGTGGGCGACATATTCTTTACACGTATGCTTCAAGCTTCTGATTTAGATGGAGTGAATGAATGCACAGAAGAATACGAGGACTCATTAACTAGACCACTGAATGCAGATGATGGCAAGCCATTAACTAGAACATGGAAAGACCAAACTTCATTCTTATGCACTATTCCAGTTCAACGTGATGGAGCGGGTATATTCTTTGATGGATTAGAAACTTTCAACTCACAAGTTACAGTACAAGTGAAAGCTTATCCAATCATTCAGGGTGAAAATGACACTTACTGTTCAAAGGTGACAAATCCTCCTCAGGTTTGGTTTACTAGGACTACATATTGGACATGGACACCGGATGAAGGTTTGAAATATCATCCAACAGGTACACCACCACAGTATAGAAGTTCATATGATGAAATATTGATGAATAGAAATGTTTAAAATTATAAATTTATTTTTGATTAAATGGATTTAAATTCATCCACCCCTTATGAAGAATTAGCGGGAGTATATAATACATACGTAGATGATATGATTAATGAAGCATTGAGTGATAATAGAAATGCTCTATCTAAGGAAAAATTAATGAAAATTCCATATTCTGAATGTTACTTAAATTCAATCACTGCAGCAATTGGTAAACAAAATAAAGGTAAAACATTAACGATATTAAAACAAATTATCATTATTGCTAACACTTCACCCCATTCACATGTGTTAATTTATATCAACCGTTCAGGTTCACCTTCAGATGATACATTTGAATCTTTAAAGCATTTAATCAAAATTCCAATTATTTATTTATCACAAGAAGAAGCAGAAGATTATTTAAAAAACTTTTTAATGTATAAAGAATTATATAATACAATCAAGAAGCAAGGATTAGAGGATAAAATTATTGATAAACAACGGGATGAATTATTTGAAACACTTTCTATTTCAAATTTTGATAGAGAATTTTTGCATTCACTCATTTTTCTAGATGATGCAGTGAAATCAAAACTAATAACAAATGAGAAATCATATTTTAATCAGTTATTAACTCAATGTCGACACATTCAGTGTTCATTCTTCATGGCTGTTCAATACTTCAAAGCATTAAGCACAAACATTAAATCAAATCTATCAACCCTTTTCATTTTCAGTGGGTTTAGTCGTCAACAGTTGAACGTTATGCTTTATCAAGTGAATTTACCAATGAGCATTAATGAACTTTACACACAATATCAGCAATTAGGTGAACATGGGAAAATAATAGTTGATTTAAATAAAGGATGTGTTAAATTTGATTAACTTTTTATAATTAATTTTTATTTTTTATTTATAATTAAACATGACAGAAATAGCAAATCTTCTACAGGTTCCATTAAAACAAGGGGCAAACAAAAAGGGTGCATATAATAGAACTATGAAAGTTCCTGATGGAATGAAAGAATTAGTCCACATTGTTGCTGGTCTTCAAAAAGATGTTAAACAAATGAGAAACGTTTTAACATTACCAGAAGCTCAAGCATATGCCAAACGTCATGGTCCAAATTGGGAAGCACACGAAGCAGACATTACAGGTCCAAATGGAAAACCTGATGGTATAAATGAAGTTTTCGTTACTGATGGTCAAGGTAATATTAAAGTCATAAATGGTTATAAATTAACTATATCTGATTATCCTAAACGTAAAGCATATAATGAACATTATCCTATGC